CACTTCCACCGTTCAGACGTTATGAGGTGCAGAGAGAAGTTGCCAGATATGATTATTATGGTCATCCTAAATTTTAGTCGCTTCTGCTTAAAGACCCATCTGAGCGTACATTTATGTTAAACAGTCAGAAACAGTTCAGAGTTGACCTCGTTGAGTCAATAACACATACATGGATTAATTAAAGATATGTGTAGCTAAGGTAATGTTTAGTAAATAAAACTAAATAGAGAACAGTATCTTTTGCTAAGAATACATTTGTTGAAATTAAAACTCTAAAATAGTTTTTAGTAATCTTAAGCAGGGTAAGTTTCACGTTTTTATAAAATATGCAATCAAGAATGTAGCTTTCAGAGAAAAATATAGTATTGTTTAATAATCATCACTCCACAGAGCAAGTTCTGTACAATAACAATTGTAAATAGTTTTTACGGTAAAATCATAAGCACTTTGTTAATTTTTGTCAAAATTGTTACGTGCATTTTACTAATTTCTCACGTTTTAAATTTACTTAAACAACCTGTGTGGAAAAACTTGGAGGAAAAATGAAAGTTGAGTAAATGTTCGTTTATGCAGTGAGCGACTGTTGCATGGTGTGTCCTCGCTTGATGTCCTGACTGTTTCCTCTTTTTCCTGTGACCCAAAGCCTGTGCCGAAACTCTTTCCTGTCTCTCTGCTCCTTTGGGAGCATGTTTCCCCTCCATCTACTTGACCATTGCAGGAAAACTTCAACGCATGGTTTGTTCGAGGAGCGTTCCCTGAGAAACACATGACAGGGAATGGCAAAAATGTGCACAAGAGAGAAAGGTCTGGGTTTGAAAAGGTAGAAAAGAGAGAATGGCAGAAGAAAAACAAGGCTATAAAGATGTCAACGAAAGGAAAGAATCTGCTGATGCTACAGATAAATGCTTTGCGGTGAAGAGTTTTTGTCAGTCCACCTATGGTGAGGGTGTCCTATGCTCGGAAGGATGTTAATGTTTAGCCTGGAATCTGAAAGGGCTCGTCTTCATTGATGACTATGCAGAATGATCGATCTTCAGGAGGAAAATCCATGTGTTTTCATCAGCAAATCACAGTTGAGCTATTTTTATGGAATATTAAGTTGGAACCGTGTTGTAACTGATGTAACCGTGTGACTAATTGCATGTAGTACTATTATTCACTAGTAAAAGCCGTGAGTCAACTGTTCACCGTGTTTCTAAACTCTCTGCCCCAGGTTCAAAAGCGATGTAAAGGGTGTAAATACCACTTTTTTTTATTCCAAGAGTTTTTTGTCTTTTGCCAGATCACACATTTCACATCAGAAATCTCCCTGAGAGCGAAGTCTAACAGGAGCCGATTTGACAGTGTTACCAAGGGGAGGGGAAATGTTTTCATTACCATATTTGTGCAAATAGGTTGATCAGCTGTGTCAGAAGAAGCGCTGCCGGTCTCTGGTAACCTGGAGTAGGAAGAAGAAAGTGAAGCCTGTGTTTTTTGGAATGTTCATTTCATCTTCCAACCCGCTTGTTCCTTTTTGGGTCACGGGGGTCTGCCAGTGCCAGGGTTTTCAAGCGCACATTGGACGAGAGGCAGGGGTACACCTTGGACTAACCCACGCAAGCACGGGAAGAACATGCTTCCAGGAAGGTCACCGGTGAGCCTCGAACCAACAACCTTCTAACTGGAAGGCCAGCGTGCCAGCCTGTCGGCAGTACTGGTATTTTGTAATGTGAAAGAAGGTGGTTTGAAAATGCACAGGAATGAAGAGATCGAGGTATCACACCCAGTCTTTGCCACATAATAAACCTCTTTTGATTCAGCTCTTCCTCTAAAGCTGTGTGTGAGGTTCCACGAGAAATCACGCCGTGGGGTTTCCACTCGATGCTCTCTCTCCTGCACACGCTCTGCTTTGACTGTGTGCTGAACACATTTTCCCTCCAGGAACTCCCCAGTGTGGAGCAGGGACTACTTTTCTTGGTGAATTTGCTTGAGTGTGTGAATTTACGTGTCGGGGGTTAGCTGGGGCTCCAGATGGCTCTTAGCCTGAAGTGTAAGATTGGTTCCTATTGGTTTGGGTGTGTTTTTATTACCCATTTAATTTACCCACATCGTTTTATTTTCCCTGGTTTTAAATTCACTGCATCCACAGGACTAGTTAAAGTAGAACGAGCAACGGGGACCTTCTGAAATACAATTTAAAGAGTCGGGTTAGGACCCTAATTGTAACCCAGCAGCAGCATTCCTGATGGACATCGCAGACACCACGTCATGTAGTTTTCAATCTATGAGTGCGAACCACTTAGTCCAGAGTTAAATTGACGGAGCTTTTTTCTGCTTGACTGAGGAAAGCATCCTGTTAATGTGCTAATGTTAGACGTGTGCTAAAGAGTAATAACACCCACTGTGATCTTGTCAAACCGTCAGCTCCAGCACAATCTAAAATGCACATTTCTGCCAGGGCTTCTTCTCTACGACCCTGTACCTGTCTGCTTAATTATTGAACACATCTGAGAGGAGGGAGGTGTGGGCAGCAGCAAAGAAAAGAGGAATGACAGATCTGCCTGCGTCGTCTCTTCTCTAAAGAGGGAAAGGGAACTCCTCTGTCATTAATGCTGAACATTAAAAGAGCTGAATGGAGACATTCAGTAAAAGTGCCAGGGGACAGTTTCATTATTGTGACGTGACACTCCGTAGCCTCGGGGGACACCGTTGATCATATTAGTTGTTTGTATCTAACTGAAAAATCATGGAAAGCGCTGCTGAGTTCCAGAAGTTTCCACTCGCACTCAAGAACTTCAGGATTAAATCACTATACAGTGGCCTTTTGGTATTGCATTGTTTAATTAATAAAAATATTGCTTGATTAACACAAGCGTACTGACAAACCACAATTTTTTTTTCATCTTTCATGTCTATTGAAAAAAAAAGTTATTAGTTTTTATAATATATATATATATATATATAGCCATGTATATTGATGAGCAGGAGTTGGACGTCTCGGGTGCATGTGGAACTGTTTGCTGCATGATCAGAGATCAAACTTGATTTCCACAACATCCCTTTCATCACACATTTCAAAATGTATTTCTAATAAACTCTTCTTTTGAGCTTGCGATCATACCGAACTTAAATTTTGGACAAAAGGTCTCTAACTAGTCTTTTGTAAATCACAAATTTATACAACACATATGCTAAATTACGTCACAATGAATCAGAGAATAGATGAGAAAAGAATAGAGAAGCGTTTCACAAGAAAGGGGGAATATCGCCACCTGGTGGAGAGATCCCAAAATCACACTTTCACTCTGGAGTACAGTGTAAAATGGTGTTAAAGTGTAAATATTCAACTGAAACAGATCTGTATGACAGCAACATCTATATAAAACACGAGGTATTACCACGGTCCATGGCAATTAGTACTAAACAAAACTCAAAAGTATATGTTTCTAGACAATTATTTGAGCTTTTATGCCTCGCTATTTCACAGTGGGAGATGACACACCCACAGCTGGAGTTGCTACCTTTCAAGGAATATGAGACACTTCAGATGCAGATCCATGAATTCTAATAACTTAATTCAGCTTTACTAAATAAACTACAATTATTATCACATAACTCATATTCAAAATGGCACACATTACTCAACCTCCTGTAATTTTATAAATTACTCATATTCACACTCATTGATTTTTCAGGGAAGTTATTCACAAAAACCTCCTCTTTCCCCCGCAGACGCATTAATCGACTCTCATCGTTTCAGCTTTTAGAATGCACCTGTTTATTTTATTCTCATTCGCTGTGAGTCGACACAAACAGCCACTCAGTGAATCTTGTGTGGTGTTCGCGCCGCCTTCCGCCCCATTGTTGGATGCTAGTGTGACATTGATGGGTCTAAAAGAGTTTATTTTTTAAACAAAGCTTTGAGAACAGGAATTTTAATAAATTGTTTTTATGAATCATTTGAATCAACTAATTTAATTAACTGTTTGAACCCTAGTTTATTGACCGTTTTATGTATTTTTTTTTCACTTTATCTTTAAACTAAGCATAAGGGTCAATGAAAACTAACAAAAAGGTACATTATAAATGCTAATTCTTTTATTTCAGACCAGCAGAAACGAAAAATACATAAAAAGAACACACAAAACATTCTGAAATAAATAAATCAAAACAACCTAAATAAAAATCCTCAATATTATATTAATTCACTATATTATTGATTTAGTGTTCTGAAATAATAACATGTTTTACGGTGTCTAAATATTGGTGAAGTAATAGTTTTGCCTTTTTTATATAACATTTTTGTTCTAAACCTAAAGCTTCAGTGCTCTTTTCAAATAGTTTCTTTGGTGAGAACATGATGAGATGAGCTTGCAGACAGTAGTAACTACTCTGCCCATCTGATGCAGTCGTGAACATAAAAATCTTCTACAGCAAGGGTGGCCAATATGACGATCTCAAAGGTGTTGTGGTAAATCGCAAGAGAGTTCACTGTGAGCAGCATTTTAATTTATTCTTTTATGATCGAGGAGCATTATTCGGCTAATATATTATTCCACTAAACATTTAGCTTCACATGGCAGCAGTCAAGTGAGAGTGGCCGCTGACCATCATTTATGAGCCTCTGATAAAGTATTATTATGGTTTCCCCATAAAGTAAATAGATGGGACGGAAGTGTACGTAAGGGTCTCCGCCCCAAACACGCCTCATCCACACTATATATACGGGTAGGTCCCGGGTCCAAATCGCGGACGAGCCCAGCTTTAATTTGGGTTCAACACCTAAAATTTCCACCCTTGTTGCATCTGTATTTTTGTTTCCAGATGAAACACCAAACAAAAATCCACCCACCAAGGCTCGTTGATGTACGGGTATGATTCTCGCTATGGGTGTGAGAGGTCCTGGGTTCAAACCCCGGAGGAGCCCAGTGTTAATTTTGGTTCAACACCTGAAATTTCCACCCTTGTTGCATCTGTATTTTTGTTTCCAGATGAAACACCAAATAAAACCCACGCACCATGGCTCGGTTGTGTAGTGGTATCATTCTCACTTAGAGTGCGAGAGGTCCCGTGTTCAAATCCTGGACGATTCCAGCTTTAATTATGGTTCAACACCTAAATATTCCACCCTTGTTGCATCTTTAGTTTTGTTTCCAGATGGCACACCAAACAAAACTTACCTTCTAAGGCTCGTTGGTCTAGAGCATGGGTTCTCATTACGTCGATCGCGGAGGTGCTACTGGTCGATCGCGGCGTGAAATTGAAACAATATCAGCCGATCATCCATCCCGTCACAGTTCAGTAAAGTTAGCTGCAGATTCACGGATTCGGTTTTCTCTGCTCAATAGCTCGAGACCAGAATGTTCTTAGTAAACAAATAACACCTATTTTTAATCTGTGTTATGTAGCGGAGAAACTACAAAACGTTTTTTATAATCAAAACAAGTTTCCCTCGGCATTCGCAGAAACATTACCGTCAATGAGCAACCCGCTGACATGGAATCGCTAGGGACCGTCTGGAAATTACCAGATCCAAAATATGTTTTAACCAGAATATGCTTCATAACTTCTAAATTGCTCTATTACAACCAAAATCAAGCAACACGCCACTCCTCACCTGCATATTGTACTGCACGACTCAGTTTCAATAAATATTGAAATATTTATTAAAGCATCATTTTTATTCTTGACTATTTGGATCAAAGCTCAATTGCTCCCATAAAAATCACTCTATTACCATCAATTCAGGTCACACACAACTGTTCTAATGATTCAATTCAGTGCAAGTCATCAAATTAAACTCACGTTATCACAAAAAATGTAAATAATTAATTATTATGTGTGTTTTGTCAATTCTCAATAAAGTTGAAAATAATTGTTTGTTGATTGATGTTTTACATTTTCTTGTGGGTAGATTACTTTGACTTGGTCTAGGGGTATAATTCTCGCTTAGGGTGTGAGAGGTCCTGGGTTCATATCCCAGACGAGTATAGCTTTAATCATGGTTCAATACATTAGTTTTCTCCCTTGTTGCATCTGTAGTTTTGTTTCGAGATGGCACACCAAATAAAACCCACCCTTCATGGCTCGTTGGTATAGGTGTATTATTCTAGCTTAGGGTGAAAGAAGTACCAGGTTCAAATCCTGGACGAGCCCAGCTATAATTATGGTTCAACACCTAAATTTTCCACCCTTGTTGCATCTGTTTTTTTTTGTTTCCAGATGGCACACCAAACAAAGCATACCTTCAAAGGCTCGTTGGTCTAGAGGTATGATTCTTGCTTTGGGTACGAGAGGTCCTGTGTTCAAATCCCCAACGACCTCAGTGTTTTTTAATGGTTCAACACCTAAAATTACCACCCTTATTGCATCTGTATTTTTGTTTCCAGATGGCACACCAAATAAAACCCACCCATCAAGGCTCGGTTGTGTAGGGGTATCATTCTCGCTTAGAGTGCGAGAGGTCCCGTGTTCAAATCCTGGATGAGCCCAGTGTAATTATCAAATTATGAGCCAAATTATCAAATGAGCCACTTTGTGCCCCCCCCCCCCTTGTGCCAGCCATTGTTTTAATGATGTGTTATAGTTTCAATCTTATGTTGTTATATAGATAACATTTTTTGAAAGATAGTTTTCTCTCTTCAGCTTGTCGTTGCAATTCCGAAATTACTCTCTGGCGCTCATCTTCGTTTGGGTATTTTTCAGCAACGTTACTTTTTATGTTGTTTGATAGTTTCCCGCTACATATCAAGCACACAGGTAAGCCAGCGTCATTGGCGGTGAATGCAAAAGCTGATCTCTACGCTGCATTAAACTCTCTATTTTCTTCCGACACTTTTCTTTTTGGGGCTCTTTTCATGCTTACAGTGGTAGGGGTTCCCGCCGTGGTCCCGCCAGCAAGTAAAGGTGACGGCTACTGACGTTGATGTGACATATATTTTAAATGACAAATTATACAAAAATAGATTTAAAAAACTTTATTTAGATGGTATCAACTAAAACCCAAGGGGAATTGTGCAGCAAAATGAACACATAATGACGATAAATAAAGAAAAAAAAAAACATTTCATTACTTTTTTGTCACGGCCATTGGGAGCCACTACAAGGAGGCTGAAGAGCCGCAAGTGGCTCTAGAGCCGCAGGTTGCTGACCCCTGGTCTAGAGGTATGATTCTCGCTTTGAGTACAAAAGATCCTGGGTTCAAATCCCGGATGAGCCCAGTGTTAATTATGGTTCAACACGTAAATTTTCCACCCTTGCTGCATCTTTATTTTTGTTTCCAGATGAAACACGAAACAAAAACCCACCCTCCAAAGCTCGTTGGTCTAGGGGTATGATTCTCGCTTTGGGTGTGAGAGGTCCCAGGTTCAAATCCCGGACAAGCCCAGAGTTAATTTTGGTTCAACACCTAAATTTTACACCCTTGTTGCATCCCTATTTTTGTTTCCAGATGAAACACCAAAAAAAGCCGACCCTCTATGGCTCGTTGGTCTAGGGCACATGTGTCAAACTCAAGGCCCGCGGGCCAAATGTGGCCATGTAAACTATTGTGGCCCGCGAGAGCTTAAAAGTTTTGAGTGTCTAAAAAAACGAAAACAAAAAAAATTGCATTTCCCACAATGCCTTTAGCCGCAATGCATCCATACTCACGAGTAAAGCTGCAGAGCTGCAAACTCTCACACATTGAACGTAAGACTCTAGCATTTCAGTGATTTCTCACGCTACACCTCTGATTTCTCACGCTAAAATACATTTCAAGATACACCCTCCATGGCTCGTTGGTCTATATAGTCTATGCAAAGCAGCTCATGGATATTCATGTATAGTTGGACGAGTGAAAAAAAAGACTAATTTCTCTGGAAAAGAAATCGAAAATCTTGTGGAGGTAGAGACCCGAAAAGCAGTTGCCTCTGAAGTGCTGGAGCCCATTCAGCAGATAAATCCACGAAATCATTATGGTCACGAAATACATGTTCTCTGGGTATTTATTTGTTTGTCGTTAAGTAACACCAACAGTCACATTTAAAGAAGGAACTTTCGTTGATGTCGTGAAATGTACAAAGAAGAAAAACGCTGCAAATCTTTTACAAGCTGCAGAAGAGCTGGAACTATTCCAGAGAACATGAACTTTATTTATTTTAATTATTGCTCATTTAGGTTTTGTTCTTTATTCTTTCTTGTAGGCTCAGTTTGTGTCTGCAATATCTCACATGTGTACTAGTGCCATTCTTTTTCTTTTTCTTTCGGCTGTTCCCAGTTTAGTAGTTGCCGTAGCAAATCATCTGTTTCCACCTAACTCTGTCCTCAGTATCCTCTACTCTTGCACCAACTAACTTCATGTCCTCTTTCAGCACATCTATATATCTCGTGTTTGGCCTTCCTCTTGACCTCGCCTTCCATCTCCAACATCCTTCTACCAATGTAACCACTATCCCTCTGTACATGTCTTAACCATCTCAATCTAGCCTCTCTGACTTTGTCTCCAAAACAACCAACCTGAGCTGTCCCTCTGATGTGCAACTTTCCAGGTTTTCCTCCACCTGCTCTCTGCTCTCACTACAGAACACAATGTCATCTGCAAACATTATTGTCCACAGAGAATCCTGCCTGACCTCATCTGTCAACCTGTCCATCACAGCAAATAAGAAGGGACTCAAAGCGGATCCTTGATGTAGTCCCACGTCCACCTTGAACTCCTTTGTCTGACCCACAGCACATCTCACTGCTGTCTTACTTCTCTCATACATATCCTGAACTACTCTGACATACTTCTCTGCCACTCCTGACATCCTCATACAGGATCATAGCTCCTCTCTCGGCACCCTGCCAAACACTTTTTCTAAATCCACAAAGACACAGTGCAGCTCCTTCTGACCATCTCTGTACTTCTCCATTAACATTCTCAGAGCAAAAATTGCATCAGTAGTGCTCTTCCTGGGCATGAAGCCATACTGCTGTTCAAAAATATACACTTCCCTTCTTAGCCTAGCTTCCACTACTCTTTCCCAAAGTTTCATCAACTCCTCGAAATACTCCTTCCATCTTCTCTGTACACTCTCCTCACTTGTTAGCACCTTTCCATCTCTATCTTT